GACTATGATTGTGAAATTACATACAGTGGACTCCATCACTGACCACTTACTTTCTAACTCATTTGCTACTGAATATCAAGGAAACTGCAGCACAATGGTAGCCTCTTTTTCTGACCTGTTATACATCACTTATACTGTTTGGGATTTTATTCAGCATTTATTTTTGGATGAAACATGTTAAGTATCAGACATGATAGTTTTCTAGTATTGATCCATTGGTACTCTTGGTCATTTTAGAAAAAGAAACAAGTTTTAGGGATTGAAATTGGCAAGACTTAACTTTTCTTTTTCTTCTTAGCTAGTTAATGTTTTGATCACCATTGAGTTGAGAGCTAAATGAAATACATTACCCCTCTCCACACATTTTTTACTAGCATGTATTACTTGCATAGAGTGGCTTCAGTGTGGTATTTGGAAATAATGTTCTATGATCCTGTTCTCTCAATTGTCCTTTCTTATTTTCCTCCTCCTTTAAAAGAATAATGTTAACAGGTTTTATTATGTTATTTTCACGCATTCATATTTTCTTATTCAGAACTAATATATACTAAGAGCTCAAAAACATTTTAATAAAAAATGACTATGAGAAATGTCTGGGAAAAAATATTGAGGGTTTAAAAGACAATGGAGCAGTGTCTTCAAAGTTCTGAGAGAAACTGTCAAGTGGAACACCAAAATGCAAGGAATTAAGAGCATTTGCTTCCTGAATCATGTGTCCTTTTTTCTTTTTTTTTTTTTTTTTTTTTTCGTGGGGCTTGAACTCTGGGCCTGGGCGCTGTCCCTCAGCTTTTCAGCTCAAGGCGAGTGCTCTACCACTTGAGCTACAGTGCCACTTCCGGTTTTCTGGTGATTTATTGGAGATAGGAGTCTCACGGTCTCTCCTGCCCGGGCTGGCTTTGAACAGCGATCCTCAGATCTCAGCCTCCTGAGTAGCTAGGATTACAGGCGTGAGCCACCAGCGCCCGGCGAATCATGTGTCCTTTATGGAAAAAATTATTTAAGGATGTGATCATGAAAACTAAGAAAGAGTATGACATAGCTGAAAAGAAATGATACACCAATCGGGCCTAGTAAGTCCAGAATAACACAATAGGCCTAGAAAGTAATTGGAAATTACCCCAATAGGAAAATTAGGAACAGTGTCTTTAAGAGGAATATAATAGGTTTCAAACCATTGATACAAGAAAGAACCTGGTAAGTATTATTGATATAAGAGGAAGAAATGAGGTTTAGACCTGTAATCCTAGCTACTCTGGAAGCTGAGATCTGAGGATCTCAGTCCATGAGATTCTTATCTCTAACCACCAAAAAGCTGGAAGTGGAGTTGTGGCTCAAGTGATAGAGTGCTAGCCTTGAGCACAATATCTCAGGTACAGATGCCTTGGTCCAGTTTTTAAGCCCCAGTTCAGGGATAAAAAAGGCAAAAAAAAAAAAGATGATTGAAATTTTTTAAAGAAAACCTGTGCAACCAAAATATAGTTGCTTGCTGCAGTCATCTAAAATAAAATCTAAATACCAATCTTTCATTGTCCAAGATTCAAACAGTAGCCCTCTTTTATCTGCTGGGGAATGTTCTAGGGCCTCTGTAGACCCCAGAAATTGTAGGCAGCAGGGAGCCCCACAACTGCTCTGTTTTTTTGCACATACCTACCTACAGCAAGTCAGACACAGTAAGAGATTATAAAATTAAAGTATGATAATTACAGTATACTGTAATAAAACAATAAAACAAATGTACCCTTCTCAAAATGTCTTTTAGGTATGAACCGCTATATAAGATATTTTTCTTTCTTCATTAAGTCAAGAACTTTCATTTTTTCTATTAGATGAAGCATAGCTTCTTTTTACATATCTAAACTGCATCCTTCCTCCTTCCTTCTTTCTTCCTCCTCATTTTTCTCTTCTACTTCTCCTCTTCCTCCTCTTCTCCTTTTTTTTTTTTTTTTGCAAGTATTGAGTCTTGAATTCAGGGCTTTGTACTCTTGCTTGCCCTTTTTGCTCATTGCTGGTGCTCTGCCACTTAAGTCAAACCTCTTCTTCCAGGTTTTTAGTGGTTAATTTGTCTGCCTTAGCTGGCTTAATTTCAAACTTCAGATCTCAGCCTCCAGCTTCCAGAGTAGCAAGGATTGTGTGAACCACTAGTGCCCAGCCTCCAGTACATTTCTTAATCTGTGATGATTAGATACTTAAGTTGCTTTTGTTTGTTAAAAATTGCATTTTACTGCCTCAGACATTTGCATACAACTTTGCCCAATTTTTAGAGATGCTTCCTTTTTTTTTTTTTTTTTGCTGGTTGTGGGGCCTTAACTCTGGGTCTGGGCGTGGTCCCTCAGCTCTTCAGCTCAAGGCTAGCACTCTACCCCTTGAGCCACAACACCACTTCCGCCTTTTTTGTTTATGTGGTGCTGAGAAATCCCTTATGAATGCAAGGCAAGCACTCCACCACTGAGCCACCTTCCCAGCCCATCGAGATACTTCTTGAAGTCCAGGAATGGAGTTAGTAGTCAAAGATTACAAGCATGCTGTCTTAATCCATTTTGCCAGCCCTTGTTCTAGAAACTCCATGAATCGTCTCCTGAGGGTAGTTCTGGCAGCATTAAGTGTTAGTGCTAAAAATTCTTTGATAATGTGATGGCCATAGTGGTATCTGAGATGAATAGAATATGTGGTACAATTGTTATAGGATATGTGTCTTACTGGTGTTGCCTTTTTGTTTTCAGACAGTCGTTCTAAATCTTGTTCTATTTTATGTTGAGTTTGAACCTAGGGTACTAAGCATGCTGAGAAATCTTCGTATAAGATTACACTGCTCAGACAAGATTTCATATAAATAGGAACTTGTTTGATCTGATTGTAAAGCCTCATTAAAACAAGACTCAAGATAAAAATTCCAAACACCTTATTTCACCAAAAATGTTTTTTTTAATTTTATTTTCTTGTAAAGATGCTGTACAGAGGGGTTAAAGTTACATGAGTAAGGTAATGAGTACATTTCTTGTTGAGCATTGTTACCCCCTCTGTTTTTCTCCTACTTCCCCTTCCCTCTCCTATCTCCCATCCACCCCCCCCCCCACACACAAAGTTGTAAAGTTCATTTCCAACATAGTGTCTTGTGAGTATTATTGTTGCAATGGGTCATCCTGTGTCCTTGTTTTAGCATTTTGCTTTTCCCCTTCCCCTCCCCAAATTAGATAAATGTATGTACAAGATGCAGGGTACCAAAATCATATTTGATAACAGGGGATATACCATAGGAGGAAAAACATACAAAAGCAACAAAAAATTACATAGTACAGAGCTTCCCTGTGACCCAGCAATCCCACTTCTGGGCATTTTGCACCAGAGATCACAAACAAGGCCATATTAAGGCTACCAGCACAATTATGTTATCACAGCATTATTCACCATAGCTATGTAACCAAACCAGATACCCTCAGTAGATGAATGTACCAAGAAATTGTGGTGTGTATAATATATATATATACATACACACACACACACACACACACACACACACACAATGGAATTCTATGCTTCCATCAGAAAGAATGACATTTGTTAGGAAATGGAAAGACTTGGGAAAAAATCATATTAAGTGAAGTAAGCCAGACCCAAAGAAATATAGGTCCCATGGTTTCCCTTATTTGAGGTAATTAGTATACATCTATGTTAATGTTATCAGATGAAAAAGAAAAACTGAAAAGCTATGTACATATGACCATATAAGATGATGCTAAGTGAAATGAACCCCAAGATGTGGATACGAGGCTTTTCTTTGTTGTTTTTGTTATATCAAAATGGTTTTCACAATCATATTTTTTTACTTCTAAAGTCTGAACATTTTTAGCACATTCCATTAGTATTAATCATTAACCTGAACTCCTAGCTTTCACTTACCATTTTCACTTTCATGTTTTAAAATTATTGAGATGAAATGTAGGACTAATAAAAGAAAGGTAGTTGGCTATTGTAATACTATTTTCAGCTATTCCTTATTAGGTCCATGTAAAAGTGAGTGAAAAGATTCTTAATCCACTATTTAAAATGAAATATGATTCCATTTTTAAAATGTAGAAAGGTAAATTAGGTATATACTCCCTCAGAAAAATCAAGGTATGTTCATGTTACCAGAAAACAAGGAATATACCATATAAACATGTATAATCAAATGATTATCAAATTTTACTAATATCAATTCTGGCAGAATGCCAACTTTATTTTAAAAATAATTCTGGTAGTAAAAAAGGAGGTGGAGGGCTGGGAAGGTGGCTCAGTGGTAGAGCGCTTGCCTTGCATGCCTGAGGCCCTGGGTTTGATTCCTCAGCACCACATAAGCAAAAGAAAAAAGCCGGAAGTGGCGCTGTGGCTCAAGCGGTAGAGCGCTAGCCTTGAGCTGAAGAGCTGAGGGACAGCGCCCAGGCCCAGAGTTCAGGCCCCAGGACCGGACTTTCCCTTCCCCACCCCCACCCCCACCCCCCGCAAAAAAAGGAGGTGGAGGGAAGGAGCTATTAAGTACTAGTAACATTGCTTTAACCACATTTGTTTTTTCCTTAATTTAGTCCACAACAGCACTGGTGAGTGAAACCAAGAGAAGGTAAAAGTGTGCAAGAACAAATCTTTTAAGGCTGCTTTTAAGGCTGTGACTGTAGGTATGACCCAATGGTAGAGTGCCAGCCGGGAGCAAGCAAGCCCTGTGAGAGTGTGAGGCCAAGGGTTTAAGTCCTGGTACCAGCAAATAAATCAGTGAATAATAATCTGTATATTATGTTGCTTTTCATATTTTTCACTGTAATTAATTACAGAGTTCTATAATTTCTTGATGAATTTTCCTTTTCCTTCCTCAGTTGGTTAGTGATGTGAATTGTGGAATTGCAGATATATTGTGGGGAAAAATTGTACAGATGTAGATATTATTGTCAAGATATGCATACCATGAAACTGTTCTTCAGTATTATCACGAATCTGTAAAGTTACATGAAACAAGACCATTTTTCCAAACAATGGAGCAAAGAGAAAAAAGTTCAGATACTGAGCAAGAAATAAAAAGTGGCAAACACCATCACTCTAGCTATTCATCTGATTTTGGCACCACAACACAGTCTTCTGGCCAGACCTCTCTTGCCAGTACTTTACGAACAGATTCTAGGGAAACAACTACTAAAAAACAAGTATCAGATAACCAAATGCATCAGCGAGGTAAGTATTATGTAAGAGTCCTTTGGGTATACAAGACATTTAGGAGGACTTACGTAAGACTCATAGAAATGAAACTATTCCATTAGTGGGTTTTTTGGTAAAATACATGGAAGTAGGCTGATTTTTCAGTAGGCTATATTTTGAAAATTTTATGTTAATACTTTTGGATCTCATATTAGGAATTTTTATCTCAAGTCTTGTTTTAATGAGAGGTTTTAATGACATAAGTTCCTATTTATATGAATTCTTGTCTGAGTAGTGTAATCTTATACATCACAGATTTGTTAGCATGCATAGAAATAAGATTGAGAACTGAAATTTCTGGTCTGTTTTTCATAATAGCTCTGTAAAATTTTCTTTTTAATGAAACATAAGGTGTTAAATTGTAGAAATGGGTTTTTACTATTTCTTGGTTACATAATGAATCAGGTATCCATGGTTGGTGCCACCTGGAGGGAAAGTTAGATTTTCTAGTTTTCCTTCATTTCATTTTTATTCTGAATGCATTTCCTCCTGGAAACCCAAACAAACCAAACCTGAAGTCACCTTGGTGATTACAGTTCATTCTTCTTACCTTGGCACATTCAGATCACTGTCTTAAAGAACTGATGGTTGTATTTTGAAGCTTCAAATTCTCCAAAATTTGTAAGAATTCTTACAAGTTCATATGTACTCTTTAGAGATTTTATATACTTATTATTTAGAATGCAATTTTTTTCTTTCAAACTATGTCATATGTTTTCATTTGAACATCACACAAAAATTCCCCAAGGAGGTATTTAGAAGCATACTTGTACTCCTGGTTTTCAGGACTGATAATAAGATATAAGTTCTTAATTATATAATATATATTTTTTATTTTAAATTATTATAAAAGTGATATGCAGAGAGGTTAGAATTACATAAGTCAGGTAAAGAATACATTTCTGTATTCTGTATTCAGTGTTACCCCTTACCTTATTCCTTTCTGTCCACACCCAAAGGTTGTGTAGGTCATTTTCCACATAGTGTGCAGTGAATAAGTATTCTACAGAATGTGCTGCAGAGATTTCTTTTTTTCTGTGCATACTTCATTTACTCTCATGGCTTCCTATTGAGGTGATAATGTCTTCATTCTATGGGTCAAGAAAATGACGTGGAATGGTTTAATTGAATTGTACTGATAATTATGAAGTGGCAAATCAGATTATCAAATCTTCTTACTAGTTGATACACTGTTTTCCTATTTCCCCAAATAAGGAAAAGCAATTCTAGTTGATTTAGAGGAAACATTTTCACATTTAACCAAAGAACAATCCCAATTGTCTGGGCACAGAAGACTTAGATACTGCATTTGATCTAGTGTTTATCTTATACTGCACTAATACTGATGATGCTCATATTTGAATCTGACTTGCCATCCTAGAGTATGATACTGTCATATTCTAGGACAGGGTAGAATAATTCTATATAAACAATTGGGATGCCATCCTTGAGGCTCCAGAATGTTCTCATCTTTTCTTAGAAGGTACCAGGCTATTCTTAATAGAGAGACATTAAATAAAAGCCATTATTTAAATGTTGTCTTTTCAGAGCAAAAATAACTAAAAAATGTTATGAACCCAAGTGTGTTAGATGAATAACTGAGTATTCTTGATGTAGCTATTATTTTGCATCATTATTGTTTTCTTATTACATTTAGTCTATCTCTCATTTTGCACTATTAGTGTTTCTGTTTTAGCTCCTAGGAAACTAAGCCCTAAAGCTGTACCAAACAAAAAGGGCAGCCGAATGCGATTTTGCTCCCAGAATCTCAATAGAGAGCCACTGCGGAAAGATCCTGATCGTGTTACAAAACGCATTCTCTCTGCAAGTCTGCTAAAAATCAGTGCGTTGCAGAAGGAAGTATGTGAACTCCAGGTCAAGATAGCTGAGCTGCTAAAAGAAAATAAGGCTTTGAAAAGGCTTCAGTACAGACAGGAGAAGGCCCTGAATAAGTTTGAAAATGAAAATGAAATTGCTCAACTTATACTTCGTCATAACAATGAGATTACAGTGCTCAAGGAACACTTAAGAAAATCTCAAGAGAAAGAACGGGACACAGAAAAGAAAGCGAAAGACACTGAAGGTGAACTGTTTAGGACAAAGTGTTCTTTACAAAAACTGAAAAAGATCTCAGAAGCCAGACACTTGCCTGAACGAGATGAATTGGCGAAGAAGCTAGTGTCAGCTGAGTTAAAACTAGATGACACCGAGAGAAGAATTAAGGTAAAGACCGTGGCTTCTAATTTTGTTTTTGTGGGCATGTCATGTGCTCTAATTAAATAACATGTTGCAGTTTGGCATTTGGCATTACTATTTTCCTGAGAGAGAAAGTAGGAAAAATTAAAAGTTGCACATATGAGAGCAAGATGCCAAGGAATGTATACACTGATAAGCTACATGTTGACTGATGATTGTTTAATTCCAGATTTTAGGCATTTGGGAATTACTTTACCTGGTTTTTTTCTTCCTCCAAAATTGAAAATGAAGCTGTCACAACCCATAACATTGACTTTTGAGGGCCTGTGTAAGAAACTCCTTGTGAATAATGCTGTGTGTGTGCATGTGATATGCACAAGAACTGGGGCTTGTATTCTGGACCTTTTCCTGTCATTTCTCTTGTTCACTCATGGCTGGTGCTTTACCACTTGAGCTACACCTCCACTTTCATGTTTTTTCTGGTTAATTGGAGATAAGAGTCTAGCAGGTTTTAAATCTTTATTCTCAGATCTCAGCCTCCTGAATAACTAGGATTATAGATGTTAGCATCTGTGCTTTGGTTTTGAAGAGTGTTCCTCCTCCTAAAATAAAAGCTGATAGGAGAGTGGTTAAGACTAGTAACTTGTCTGAGAACAGTACAATTGAAAAATTACTTGTTTCTATAGAGAAAGAAAGGAAAGGAGCCCTATTTCAAGACTTACATTAGGTGATACTTGGTATCAAACATAAGCCTGAGTTTGGTTCTAGTGCTTCAGAACTGATGAGTAGTTTGGAAAGCAAAGTAGCCAAAAATTGTGGGAATAAGGCCTGCTCTAAGACTCGGCCCAAAGCAAGTGCAGAAGTGTAAATAAGTGCTTACTCTGTAGAGTAACTAATCCATGCTCAGGGGCTGTGACTTTATTAAACACACTATATACCAGTGGTCAGAAAAACTGCCTGGTTTATTCTCTGAAATTTTCTATCATTGTCCTTTATTTCAGCACAAAGACAATCATGTTATAGAGGTTCTGCTACTGATCAACTTTTAAGTGCAAAGCCATTTTTTCCATTTTTTAATTTTTTATCATCTTTAAATAATTGTACAAAGAAGTTCCCATTCTACAAAACAGTATGTGAATACAAAGTGTCTGACAGCATTGCCACCCATCGCTCCTAATCCAACCCTTCTCTCACTTTTTAATTGAAAGTAGGTGATTACATAAATTTCACATATTTCACAGTATTGTGAATTAGTGATATTTAGTTAAAAGTCACAAACACATTTGAACCTTCACAAGGTAAATTGTCATTATCATGGTCTATAAAGTTTGTGAATTCTATGAACTTTGACAATACAATTATTTCTTCCATATCAGGTGATATTTACATGTCTTTCCTTTTGCTTAGTGTAAGCTGTTCCCTCATTCCTCCCTCCCCCTTGCTGACTTTGGGTTGCTTAGTTCATTTTCATCTATGTCCACATGCAAAGCCAATATTAGGAATGTTTGTGATCAGCTTTCTGGAGTCTGTTCTGGCCGGGTGATCTGTCTGCCCCGTCATAACTACACACTCTTGATTTTAGGCTCCACAGATAGACCTTAACACTAGGTAAATTTGAGCTACTTACTCTGTGTCCTCTACTTTGCCATATAAATTTTAGAATAAGCTTGTCTATTTATACAAACAACTTCCTGGAATTTTTTTTTTTGTCAGTCGTGGGACTTGAACTCTGGGCTTGGGCACTATCCCTCAGCTCTTCAGCTCAAGGCTAGTGCTCTACCACTTGAGCCACAGCACCACTTTCCTTCCTGGAATTTTTATAGAGATTACCTTAAAACTAGATCATAGAGAATTGACATTTTTATGATGTTAAAGTTCCAGTTCTTCACAGTGTGGTTTTCTAGTTTGTTCCTTCCGTCTTTCTTTTCTTCCTACCTTCCTTTCTCCCCTCCCCCCCCACTTCCTTCCCTTCCCTCCTACCTCCCTCTCCCCTTCTCTTTCTTATTTTTTTAAAGGTGGTATTTGGGCTTGAACTCAAGGTCTCATACTCTTGCTTAGCTTTTAAACTCAGGGTTAGCATTCTACCACTTGAGCCACAGCTCCACTTCTGGCACTTTGTTGGAGATATGAATCTCATTGACTTTCCTGCCTGGCCTGGCTTCCAGTTGTGATTGTCAGATGTCAGCCTCCTAAGTAGATGGATTAAAGGTATGAGCCAACAGTGCTTGGTATGTAGTTCCCCATTTGCTTACATCTTCTTTGATTTCAAAATGATCTCACTTCTTTCTAGGCTAAAGGATTACTTTTAAAAAAAAAAAAGGATTACTTTTAAACTTTTGTTTTCAATTTTTTTACTTCTATTCTAAAATTAGTTTTAAAATTAGTTTTAGACATTTACGCTCAGGTTTTAAGAACACTGGGTTTATATGAAGGCAAGAATATGGAGGGTAGTGAATGTAATCAGAACTTATTATATGCATATGTGAAGGTGGAAGATTGAAGGCCATGAAAGCTATTTTATTTTGAGAATGAATTACCATCTAGCTTCTTAAAATTATTACAGAAAGAGAGGGGGGATAAGATAGTAACAGAGGCCAACAAATGTCATCAAAATCTTTTATATGTGCATATAGAACTATCACAGTGAAACCTCTGTACAATTAGTGTGTGCTGATTTTTTAACATTATTATTATTATTATCTTTAAGTAGTTGTACAAAGAAGTTCCCATTCTACACAACAGTATATGAATACAAAGTATCTGACAACATTGCCACCCATCCCTCCTAACCCTTCCCTTCTCCCACTTTTTTTTTAAGTTGAGATAGGTGATTACATAAATTTCACATATTTCACAGGATTGTGGAATAGTGATATTTAGTTGAAGTCACAAGTGCATTTTAACCTTCACAAGGCAAATTATAATAAGTACTGATTTTTAAAAATGAAGAATATTGGATATTGTACACTTCGTGCCTCAAAATTTTATTTATAGATCTAAGCTTTTTCCTTGCTGCTGTAATTGAAATTGTATTGGAATCAACATAAATGTGCAGTTATGAACCTGCTTCTCCTACATCAGTGATGTCTTGCCCTGCCACACCCTGCTAGTGCCCTCCAGTGGGGAGCTGTGCACCCCAACTCAGGCCAAGTATTCTGGGCTCTTTAGCTTCCCTCTCACTCTTCCTAAGCAAAATCTGGTTGTAACCACTACATGAAATTGTATCCTTCACAAGCTCTGTAATCAATCCAAAATTGGAAATATTTACTATTGAGTTTGTTGTTTTACTGAGAAATTTAGCTTTTGTGTTTTGTGACCTGTGCCATTTTTCAAATTTTATTTCATCCAAATTTTTACTTTTTTTTCTTCTAATTCAGGAGGTCAGAGCCAGTAGCACTGTTTGGTTAAGGGAGAAAGGCAGTTGATGGCAGTGTTTCACTTCAAATGAAAGTCTCGATTATCTCCTTGACTTTCAAGAACATTCTATTAGTTCTTTCTTTAGTTTCCTACTGTGTTTTCTCAGGAAGCTGTGTGCATGTTGGGCTTTGGGGGTCTTTTCACTTGTTTCCCTTGGAGAACATTTTGTTATATTTTAAGAGTTGCTCCTTGTGCTAGAACTTGGGGCAGGCAGTTTTGTTTATGAAATATTGCAGCAAGCCTCCTTCTTCCTGTAAGTTGCATTTCTTTCCTAGGAGGTGTGAGGGAGGTATTCTTCAAAGCTATCTTTCATTACTTGTGTGGTGAAAAACTTTCCTGTCAACACTCACATATAAGAGGTAGGGTACCAACCCATTTTGTTACTTTATGCAAATGACAGGATGCAAAGGATTTTAGTAATTTAGGGTAATGATGCCTTAGAAATGGATGTAGTGTAAAAGACATAAACACCCCTAGCTATGAATGAGACAAGCACCCTGACAGCAATGCCCTTCTTCAGGACTAGCCCATCCTAACTCTGCCTGTGTGACAGGGCTCGCCCAGATCCCAGATGTGTACTGAGGAGAGAGCGCTGCCTGACAAGGTCAGACTTGCTGAGCTCTGTAGGAAGGGCAGGCAGCTGTCAGATTACATGTTTCCTTCCTTTAAAGAGTTGATGTTATACCTTCACTTTGGCTTTTACCCCCAACAAATTTATTACTTTTCCTCATAAAATGGTGCTTCATTTATTTTACCTTTTATTTCTAAAAATTTATTAAGTGATATATATATAACATAAAAGTATATATGTTAATGAGGTATGATCATACATTTCAGTACATGTATATATTGCTTGATATTTAAATGATATTAAACAAATATTTTTTTCAAATATTTTTATGGTGAAAAGTCTGAAAGTCTTCATGTGGTTTGAAATACATAGTATATTATTATTAGCTATGGTTACCCTATTGCATAATAGTACACTTCAACAAGTTTGAGTTCTGTCAAAGGAGTCCCATTTTAATATATTTATTTTAATATTAGTATTTCATGTGTTATTAGCTCAGTATTTAATACTTAAAATCTCAAAATGGGACAACTTAACTGTAAAAACAGTACTAGAGTTTAACTCAGGCTCTTGCACTTGTTAGGCACTTGAGCCATGCACTCAGCCCTTTTCCCTTTTTGCTGTCTATCAGATAGAGTTTTATGGTTTTTGCTCAGACAGCCTGGATGTGATCCTCTACTCACATTACCTATTGAGCTAGGACTATCCATTTATATGGGCTTGTTTACTTTTTTCCTCGGTTGGCATAAAACTATCATCTTTCTGATCTCCACATGCCACGTAGCTGGGATTACAGACATGAGCTGGGGTTTTTTTTAGTTATATAATGCATTGGGGGTTTCAAGATTCATTTATATCCTTAAAGTATATGTCTGAGACAAGCAGAAAAGGTCAGATAAGTTGATGTTAGGTGAAATGAACCCCAAGGTAAGTTTTTTCTTTCTTGAGATTGTTTCTAACATATTTATAAGATGATTTCTTTGTTGCTTTGTATGTCCCTCCCCCACGGTATAACCCTTGCTTTCATTGTATTTGATGT